TGTAAATTATTTCAACCTGCATCATCTAAACTAAACGTCCTTGGTGACATCTAACTAGATGGATATTTGTGACACATATATGCAATTGTAGTTTTTTAATGTCCATCTATTTGAGATTTACGTTTTATTTTGTTTCGAGGAGATTTTATTTTTTTGTGAGATCTTTCAATGAAAGACACTGTTTTTTCATGTGTCTTCTGCTAATATGAATTGATAAAGCATGAGAACGGAATGACTTTTTTTTCTAACATGAAATTTTCAAATTATAAATTTTCGTTTTATTTTTATATTTATTCAACCATGAAAAGCAAGCATTATACTTTTCTACAATTAATTTATATGTTTTCATAAAAGACATTATTTGCAAGTCTTTTTTTTACGATTAGAATCAACAATGAATATAATTGATACATAACTCTTCAACTCATTAATATTTATCATTTTATTAACGAATATTTGAAAGAAATAATTATTATTTTTCAGTAGTTTGACTATTTCATTTTTAAAATGTATAGATACTATTGAGATAATATCCTTTTTTTTCCTAAAATATTCTTTTGAGACATGATTTTATAATGAACGATTATTAACAGAAAAGATGGCTTTTCCTATATAGTAGACTTAGACACATGCGAGATGGTCCTGGAATTAGGATCATGTATTCTAACTAGATATGAACAGAATGGGCCCAGTAGTGCGAAGAAAACCGACTAGTCCCATTCATGTCTAAGTAGAATCTATAGTTATTAATTATATTTTTGTCTCTTTCATATTTGAGGAGGGGTAACGTCTTAACCATGTCAAAGTTTGTTCATCTTCATATTTAATTTTGAGAGGTTACTATTTATTTGTTGTCACATCTATCATTAGATTGAAAAGATTCAATTATGCTAAACTAATTGACTTATTAAAACTTAGATATTGTAGTGTCTTTATCATGTACCAAAGAAACAATATTCTTTCTTTTTGAACTAATTGATATTTACTTTATTTCATTATTGCATTTTTTTTACTTTTATCGTTTTTACTAATGATAAATCATGTCATAAAAATTATTGTGTTTCTTTTTTTTTATTATAAAATCAAATATAACACTTTCTTTTTAAACTGATATGTGCTCTATTTATGTATGATCTAATGAAAACATCTCTTGTTTAATGTAAAATTCTTATGTGATACAAACCATACAAAAACTATTGATAAATCAATAGTATAGTTGAAGAATTTATTACAGTTAAACACCATTTTGTTTTTATTTGATCTGTATTTTATCAGTAGTTATTGACTACTAGAGATTCATATATACTGACGTCAGTTTTTGATAGTATTTTATTAATGATTGGCATATTTAGTGTACCAAGAAATGTCAAGGTGAGGGTGCTACTAAGTTACAGTAGTACCTTACAATATGTCAGTCTTTTAAATAAGGCCATCATATTATATTCTACTTGTTTATTGTACCATCAGAATAGACAGTTGATATTACAGAAGTCTTTTGGCTAATGAGAAATATTTTATAGCGGCACCTATCACAAAGCTCATTTCTCTGTTTTCGCTGTATATATTTGTGATTTTCATAACTGTTTGTATTAAGAAAAAAATTGATATAATCTTTAGCAAAAATCATGTTATTAGCACATTTAACTATAGAATCAGACTAAGCTACAGAGCGATCGGTTAACTGCAAACTTATGGATAGTTTTAGCAAAATCGCCGTAAACCGGCGGTATCTTCAAATAAATGACAATACGGGATTCGATTAATGATTGTTCAAAATATGTACATGACAAAGGTAGTTTACTATTATTGATCAATATTTATCCACAAAATACTTATCCACGTTTAAGAAAAAAATAATACTATAGAATGAATTTGAAATTCAGATTTGTATCTATATATCAATTTAGCTTTTAAACAAAATATAATTTTTATTTTGTTTTATTTTGAAATTCGACCACCATTTGATTGTGTATCGTAGAACTTTCAATGGTTGCTTTCTACTAAATTTTTTTTATTGTCACATAATTACTTGACTTATTACTTATGATGATTGAGTTCATGTTAAATTAATTATACTATTTTTAATTTTTAAAATGAATTCTCTCAATACGTAACAATTCTATAAATTTTTCATATTGATTTTCGTCTTTTTTCTGTTATAGAGATCTTTTACATAGTCTTCATTTTATCTATAACACTTTTATCATTAAATTAAATATGTAATTTTTAAGAATTCATTTCAAAGAATTCTTTCTAAAATTATATTTAATACTAAACTATCACAATGCAATGATATTCTTCCATTATTACTTATCTATGGTATGTCCTTATCATTCAGCATTTATTTCATTATTAAAAAACAAAACGAAAATTTTCGTTTTTAGTTATTAAATATGCTATGCATTTGTTATTCTACCTATACCCGATCTTTATCAGAAGCCTGTAACATTAAGGGTTAGTCACTAAATAAAGAAAAGTATTTGCTGTTCTTTTTAATCTTATGAATATGAGAATATGACAGTGAAATGTCTTTAGACCTTTTTTTTCTCGAATTGTATTTTATCCACAAAAATACTTTTTTTAAATTAGAATATTCTTTTTGATAAATAATTACTTGACAACTATAACAGGTAACTGAAGAACAATAAATCATGTTTGATACATTACAAAAGTTTATACAAAGATGAAGAAAAAGATAAATTTTTTTTCGTTATATTATCATCTTATAAGGAGATAATTCGCTAAATACGCAAATACTTAAAATAAAACGAAAATTAGATTTAATTAAATTCACATATATAACATCCTAAATTATACATACACGAACGTTTGTTTTTTTTCATATCAAATAAATTATTTATTGTCAGAAGAATATTTTAATAAGCAATAGATCGATGTAGTCAAGCAAATTATAGTTGAAAAATAATATATTCATTAATATAACTGAAAATGATTGACATGTTGATGTAATCAGATTTTAATTTTATTTTTATTTTCGTGATAGATATTTATGTAGTAGTCATCAAATGACATATAAAAGAAACAGAATAAAAAAACAAACATATTTTATTCGTAATAATTTCTTGTTTTCATTTTTTTTTTCGGTTCCCTTCAAGTTGTTCTGTTTTCCATGACGTTTTTTATCAGTAAAATGACATCACAAGAAAAGAAAAATATAAGTCAAACAAAGTATTTTTGAGCTTGACCTATATCATAGAGATTTATCAGTATTTAGTTTAATATATAAAAAAATATTTTATGGCGTCTATAGTGTTCTTTTATTTTTTTGACATAAAAAAAAGTTGCTCATAAAAATACTTGAAAATGCTCGATATTCATTTTCATGTGTAGAAGTAGAGCAAAATAATTATTCGTTCTTTCGTGTATATATATATATATATATATATATATATTTATTTATTTTTGTATACTTTTAATTAGTTTTAAAATCTAGATGGAACCTGACAAGAGTTTTTATTTAACTGCTTTTCTTCTTACTATATTTGCTTTATCAACTTGGCTTGATGTTAATGGTGTTTGGGTTGAACTTCCATTAATTGTTAATCAAGCACCTGAAGGTTGGGCATTACCATCTTATTTAACACTTGCTATTGCAATTAGCAATATTGGACCATTAATAATAATATTATTAAAAGTTTTTTTTAAAGAACGTCTTAATGAACGAATATTTATTTATATTGAAATTATTGTTGGAATAATATCTTGTATTTTAATGGCTCAATATTGGAATAAAACACATTATTTTGCTGGTCAACAACGTTCAGTTATATTTATTGTATTAGTTTTTTTACTTGGTACTTTAGATACAACATCAACAGTTACATATGCTGATTATATGAAACGATATAATTCAAAATTACTTAATGCACTTTATTTTGGTGAAAGTCTTACATCTTTACTTCCATCACTTTTAGCATCTATACAAGGTGTTGGAGGTGAACCAATATGTCGAGAAAATTCAACATATCCAGAATATTCTTCACCACGTTTTTCAGTTCAAATTTATTTTTGGATATTTGTTGGAATTATATTTCTTTCATTGTGTGCTTTTCTTATACTTGAATATTCAACTATAACAAAATCTCATCGAGTACCATTTGTTTATCAACGACCAAGAATATCAAGTTCTTATGAACTTTCAATACAATTAGAACCAAAATCTATTACTTTAACAGAACCTTCTTCAATGACAAAAAACGGTTATTATAGTCTACTTATTATTGCATTTTTATCAAGTATAATACTATTTGGTATTTTACCATCAATTGGTACATATGCAGTATTACCTTATTCACAACGTGCTTATTATATTTCAAGTATTATTTTACCTATTTCAAATCCACTTTCAGTGTTAATAGGTCTTTTTATACGAAGTATATTAAAATATATTTCAATATTTATTTTATTTACATTTGCTACATGTGTATCATTATATGTAATTATTGTTGCGTTTTTAAGTCCATGTCCACCATTTCATGATACGACAGGAGGAGCTATATTAGTAATTAGTTGTTATTTTCTAACTTATTTAGTTTTTTATTATATAAGATTAGTTATTGGAAATCGTGTTCGTCAAGAATATCAAAATCATAGTGGATTATTTTGGCTTGGAGCAGCAAGTCAGATGGGTAGTCTTTTAGGAGCAATACCAATGTATTTACTTATAAATATATATAATAAATTCAAAAGTCGCAATGCTTGTCAAGTTTATTGCATTGATTAATGGTTATTATTATTATTATTATTATTGATGTTTTTTTAGAAATAAATAAAATCGATTTGATTTAATACTTTCTATATGTTTGAAATAACTGAAAGTTTCATTTAATGAATAATATATGAGCAAAATC